AATTTTGAACGTGCTCCTAAATTTTTTAAGTTAGGAGCACAAGTGCTCCTAAAAAGAAAAGTAAGCATAGAGCCCTGCATAGCAAATATTAGCAGACACTGGTGCGTTTTTTTTTTTTTTTTTTTTTTTTTTTTTTTTTTTTTTTTTTTTTTTTTTTTTTTTTTTTTTTTTTTTTTTTTTTTTTTTTTTTTTTTTTTTTTTTTTTTTTTTTTTTTTTTTTTTTTTTTTTTTTTTTTTAAGTAAAGTCTACATTATTGAGTTGTGTAATATATAAAACATTTTGGGTTGAATTCCCAGCAAAAAGAACAATGCAGTGAAAACGAGCTATACTGTTACCATGATATGACTCATACTGTGATACAAGTCCTCTCAGCAGCAGGTGTCAGCCTTCAGATCGCTTCATCATAGTAACCTTTTTAATTACATTTAGTTTTGTGCATCACAAAGCAGTGTAACGATTAAATTAGTTACTGATTGTGTGTCATTTTAAACACTTTTCTTTTATAGGTTCTATTCTCAAAAAACTTTTGCACACTGGAAACTCGTTCAAGGTGAGTCGATTAATGAATCAGAAGAGCTTAAAATGATGACATACACATCTGTTGTGGATCAGTGTGAATGCAGGAGGTGGTGTTGTGTTTGTGTGTGCAGATCCGCTGTGAGGGCATGCGTCTGTTCCTGCTCTGGCTGCAGGCTCTGCAGAGTAACTGTGCCGAAGAGCAGCTTCTCATCTTCGCCTGTCTGATCCCAGGATTCCCTGCTGTACCCTCATCCAGAGGACCCTGCACACTGGACACCATCATATACAACCCCTTTTCCAACCCGCCTGACGGTAACAAACATGCACACACATTGACATAGCCAACTATGCTGGGACCCACTGTATATGAAGTGTCTTTAGCTGCTATGTACTGACATTTAATTGAATTATTTGATGCAGTGCACTTACTGTGTATATACATATTTGTACATTGTACAAATATATATTTTTTAAAAAGCCACATGCAAATACAATGTTGTAATTAATTTATGTAATTACATCTATATTTACTCTGTTGACCCTACCCCTTAACTCACGCTTAAACCTAACCATACCACAAATCCGTATCCCAACTCCATAACAGCAAAAGGGTTTTGGGTTGCACTTCATTTTAAGGTGTTTTTGTTGCAATATAATTGAACAAATATGTACAGAATAGTATTAAGGGTTAGGATTAGTTGCTTGTAATTATGCAGAATTTACTGTTATTACTACAATAAGTGCATGTAATGTACAGTTACAAGGACACAGTTAAATAAAGGGTTGCCGTTTTGTAAAAAGTTTTTTTTATTTTTTTTTATTTTACGTACTGTAGGTACATTGTAGTTAAAGACACGTATTATAAAGTGTAACCTTAGTCTTTTATTCCTAACCTATAGAATATCTGCATAAAGTCAACTTTAGTCAACTGCTACTTTGCATATTTTGTTTTACCTGAGGTTAGATATGGATAAATCTGAAATCAGTAATATCACAATAATACAGTGTCGTGTCAAAAATAGGGCGGTCAAGTCTAATTGAAAGAAAGTATAGACATAATTATTAGGAAAATATATTAAAAAAAATCCAACCAATCAGCTGAGAGCTTGCCATTTTTTAAAATCTCTTTTCATTTTTATGTATGATTTAGGGTGCTGCAGTGAGTATGTACTGTGTTTTGTTTGACAAAAAAACTAATAGGATTTTCCATTGGCTTTTGGATTATTGCAGAAAATGCAATATTCTGATTCTTACATGTATTGTTCATGCTGATAATCTTCACAAATGAGCATGACATTTATGTATTTTGAAGCCGAAATAAAGGTTGGCAAAAGCAAAAGCTAAATGGAACTGCATGGTAAAAAATATAGACTCGTTTCCAAGAAGTGCTAAAATACAGACTCATTTCCAAGTTTGGCCTACACAAATACATAAACGAATCAGCTGAACTCAGTGTAAATGCTGTACATGTGCTATCTTACCTAGGGATGCCCGATATTGGATTTTTGCAGATATCCGATATGCCGATATTTTTCAACTCATTTTGGCCGATACCGATATATTTCCTATTGTTTGGAAACAACACCAAGTCTCTCCTGTGCAGAAATTATAAGCAAAATATTTTTAATTGTGGTTAGTTTTTAACAATAACTTATTTGTTAGAATTAAATAAACAATAATGAAGGTTTTTTGACAGTACATTGAAGCTTTGAAAATAACTATAGGCTTAAATAAACTATATATCAATCGCTGCATTTTTTTTCCCAGATAGATGCAGTTTACCCTAACATTTTATTTTAAGATTTAACATTTGTAGATGGTCTAAAGCAAGAGTTGTAAAAATTCTGAAAATCTTTTAGAGCTTATGATTTGTTTAAAAAATAAAACATATTACATATTAATGAATAAATCAGTATATATAAAATTATTTAATTTACAAGTGTTATGTTTGTAATTTTTTTTCATGTAAGCTATAGCTTATTAAATACTGCTTTATTTAATCAGAAACACAGTCTAAATGTTATTTGTGTAGGCTATTTTCCTTTTAATTTAATTAGAAGTAGGCCAACAGCGCCCCCTACAGATTAAAACTTTTTACCGAACGGGCATTAGGACCTGGGGGAGGCTGTCACTGCTGCCGCTGCTGCCACTGCACTTGCTTTTTACTCTATCACACACCTAAGGCGTCATTCTGTACGTGCTTTCACAGATTAAATGCAGCGATCCAAAACAGTCAATCTAATCATCAATCAGACAAAACTTTGCTTCAAGAATTAGCCATACTCCTGACTTGAACTAATCACTAGGATACCCTGAGCACATGTGAGTTAACGCATTCCTCTTATCGGCAAGACATATCGGCATAATTTTTCATATCGGGGCCGATGCCGATATTTACATACATTCCGATATCAGTCCGATAATATCGTGCATCCCTAATCTTACCTGAAGTAACAAAATTACCTTCTTATTCTTCCGTGTTCACAGTTTTACCCTTCATTCATTTTATCCCTCACCATTTACAACACATCTACTGTGTTTCTGTCTGGGAATGTCATTTTTAATGATGGCCATTAATGCTCTTGTGGCACAAAGGCACTTTAAATCTAGTATTAGAGTGTAATAATCAAATGGTGGCACAGCATCCTCAGAAAAGGAGGTCAGAGTCTGTTAAATGCTGAAAGGAATGATTTCCCTTGATGTTTCCTCTCGGAATAGATTTTATTGATGCCCTTGAACCGGTAATGACCTATTCCTTTCAAGCACTGTGGATGTGTTCATATGCATTTGAAATCAGTGAATATTCCTTTCTGTCTGTGCTGACGTGCTTTATGTCTGAATAGATTTCATTAGTGCAACACATAGGCTATTCACACTGAAGGCTGTTCAGCCTTCTGCAATGACAAAGACAGTAGTGGCAGGAACAATGTGGCACGACGCTTTGAGCTGACACAGTCCATGTGATAAAAATAAGCCGCATGCAGATCTTGCAAAAAGTGAGTTGTTCAAGTTTTTGAATAATTATTCAAATAAACTTCAAATATTATCCCAGTTTACTGTGCATAGATGACATTAAAGTATAAGCAATTTGTACATTTAGACTCTTAAACATAATAATGCACACTGTAACAGACTGTGCTGCTGTTTGTTTGAATGCTCTGAACATCTGGCTCAACCAGTCGTGTGTTTTTTTCCGCAGGACTGCATGTTGTTGGAGCATCAGTAGTAATGTTTGCTGAGGCGTCACAATTTCTGTTGCTCATACTTAAGAATAAAATTTGAACATGTATACCATTATTGTTATGTTGTGCAGCTTGCTGTGTGGTAGCGGGTGATTGTGCTCATGATGATGTCCTGTAGACATACACCAAAATATCTGCAGTGGTTCTCAAGCAGGGGACCCAATCGGAGGCCTCATCAAACGTACAGAAGTGCCTTGAGATGGCTTAAACTAATTAAAAATAAGATAAAACCAACAAACAAATAAAATCAAAATTTAAGCTGACACCATTTTTTATTTCCATTTTTTCCTCAACAACTACCATTTTATTTAAGAACCAGAATGTTCTCGCTTTTGGAAAATGTGGATATAAGTGAATTTTAAAAGTGTAATTTCTAGATCTGGAAAACTTCTATAATGAGATCTAATTTCTTATATTATTTAAATATAAATAAATATGATTTCTCGTAGTTATGTCAAGCTGGGTAGAAATTATTTGTGAGTAACAAATATATTTGTAGGAAAAAAAAAAAAAACTTCCAAAGAGAGAAAGAAAATCGATATTTGAAATTAGTTTGCTGCATATCCAAAAAAGGATTACATGCAGATATACCAGCAATCTTCTATTATTATTCATGTGCAAAAAATAAAGTGCTCCATGCATTTAAAACCCACAACAAACATTTCAGTCACACAGGACCTCTTCCTCATTGTCCTCTTTGGAAGAATTTCTGTGTAACTGGGAATCATGTTACAGGTGGATTGAAAAGTGTGCAAGATCCAATTATTTATTTATTTTTGGAAAAGGGGGAAAAATCCCATAATCACAAAAGACTAGAAAAAAATCATGTCAATTCATTGCTCAGAAAAAAATGTGAAATCTGAAGAACAAATATACATACATACATAAAATAAATAAATTAAAATAAATAAATGTAAACATTAAATTTACATAAAATGGGTTAAAATAAGAAACTTTATTATTACAGCAGAAGTACTAGTTATATTTTTAGGGACCTTTTGAATATAGTCTTTAACAGTTTGGCCCTTTGGAGTCAGAAAGGTTGAGAACCTCTGATCTATAGAGCAGAATAGGAGCCATCCAGAAAACCCTAGCATTGTGATGACAAGCCCCACTCAAAGTTTCTTCTAGTTTCTTTTTTTTTTTTTTTTACAAATCCATGGTGCTTTCTGGATCATGAATTACACACCTCACCTTTCAGATGTTTATGAGTATATTCAGACTCGGTGTTTGTGGTTTTGTAGCCAAGATTGTGCCAGAGGAGATCAGCCCACTGGTGCCTGCGGTTCCCGGAGAGAAGGTGGCAGAAGACCACACCTGCTCTGTCCTCCAGATTGTGCTTAAGGTCATGGTTCTCCAGGTGAGACAGAGCTGCTCATGTCAGTGTTTGGCTGATAATACTTGTGACCTGCTTTGTTTCTGTTTGAAGTCTGCATGTTGCTTATAACTGAATTGCCATGATGCAATCTGAATCAGATTTTTTTTTTTTTTTTTTTTACCCCAAAGGAACAATTACAGAACATTAAAAATATTAATACTTTTAGGCCTGGTTTCACAGACAGGCCTTAGCTTAAGCCATGACTGACACAGGCTTCAGATTTCTCTTTTCCCTGTTCAAGAAGTACTACCTGCCTCAACTCTTCCCCACTTTCACAAAACAAACCAACCTCTACAAGCCACAATTAGGTGAAGTAATGTTTCACAATAAACCTTATTTTAGCAGCTCACATTTTACACAATATTTGGCTTAACGATGAATTTCTTTACTTAAAAGAGTTAAACCTGTGGAGCTCTTATTTTGGTATAAAACTGCAGGGAGGCTAAGTTTCTGTGATAACAGAACAATACATTTCTCTTTACAGGATTAGTAAAATGATCTGTCCACAACAATGCTGGAAATGATGGGAATGTGAATATAAAGCATAACTGCCAAACAGTGTGTTACAAAATTCATGTTAAACTGACAGGACGCATAGGTCTTTAGTTCGCCGCATTCACTGTGAACCATGGCCACTCTGAGATGCTGAAAACACTGGATCGAGCAGTGTTCACCTGTAAATGAACACAGTGCTGCGCTTCACTCGGAAACACGCAGGGTGTCAGCCTTTTGCAGCTTGATAAGCACACTTAGCCATATCGCAGTTTTAGTTTTATAGTGATTGACAGGTGCTGTGTCAAAGCAATGGCTCAAAACGTATTTCTTGTTTTTAATTTGTATTTCCTTTCCTTTCTCTCTCACACAGATCTTCCCGTTCACAGACCAAAGCCCCTCTACGTCCCTGTGACGCGTAACAGTGAGAGCACATACTGCACTAGGGATCAGTACCTGGCTCCCCGCGTGGCCTTCATCACGTGGCTCGTTAACTTCTTCCTGGAGAAGAAGTATGTGAACTCGGCCACGAGCAGCTCTAAGAACGGAGGAGAGGTCCTTCCTAAGATCATCCAGGTGGGAGGAAGCTTGATGACAGAGAACCGCTGTCTCACTGTCAACTACAGTAGCTACAGATATCTTCTGAGACAGCATACTCACTAAAAGGAAATATAATTTTTCTTAATTGAAACTCATTTGGCAAATTCATTATAGGAACAATAAAACCAAAATTGAAATTTCTGTCGTCATGTGCTCACCCTCATGCTGTTTATTTGTTTATTTATTTTAGTTAAAAAATAGTTCTTTTGAAAAAAGCGCAGATGCAAAAACATTGTAAAGCATGTGTTGTTTAATGCAATATCAACTTCAAACACACACTTTTCCACAAAAGAAGTTGCTTTTTTGCCATACACTTAAAGTATGCAGTGTGTAGAAAACGTTGTTCTTATAATACTGTGCATCTAATAATGGCTTTTGGCTAATAGAAGCACATATTGTCATATATATCAGTAAGGTGCATATGAATACAAAACGGTTGGCAAAATATATTTTTCTGAAGGAAAAGTGGCAGGTTCTCTGCCATCTCATATTTGAGCGGCTTTCTCTTCTCATTATTTAACATATTGCATTACAACAATAGCCTCAGAACCTCTGTGCAAAATTGTTTGTTTATGTATGTATGTACTTTTTATTTATTTTCATTTAAGTTTGTGTTTTCCCAAGGAGTGTAGACACTTTTCCACATTCTTTTTTTTAATTATTTTCTTATACATTGTATTTTATTTTATTTTAAAATGGGTGAAGTCTTAGAAATTATTAAATCTTAGTACTATAAACTGTATATATGTAGTTAATGCATGGAAGCTCTTTCTTCTCCCTGTGTTTGTGTTCAGACTGTGACTGCGGGCGGGATCAGTCAGGAGAAGAGCACAGACTCTGAGCCCAACGGTCCTGTGGAACAGGAGAAGAATCACTCCAACAGCAGCACGCTGTCAGATCGCAGGGGCAGCAACTCCAGTCTGTGTAGCATCGAGGAGGAGCATCGCACCGTCTACGACATGGTGCAGTCCATCCTGCTCTCCACACGAGACAACGTCAATTTCGTCAATGAGGTCTTCCATCAGGTGCTGAGTGCTTCTGTTGCTTACATTATTTCACCTCATGTTCGCATGATTTTAGACATATTCTACTTGGTTAGAGATATAGTGACCCTAAAAATATTTGGACACTTGTCCAGAGCTCGGTATTGGTATTTTTATTGTCCGCTGTCTCATAATGCAGTACGTTTTAAGATACATAAGTGACGATATGATATGTATACAAGTATATATAATTTGTTTAAATATAATTGAAATTCTATAAAATCATCTAAAGATGTATATATCCTAAATATGGTATAACAAATGTTTTAATTATAATTTTAAGAGGTTAATCTCAAGTTTGTGGGTGGAAAAGCAGAAATCACAATACAGCGTAATGTTATTATTAAACTTCAAAAACCTATGATTTAATCAAATAAATATGAGCACTGCACATTCAAAGTCAAAATGCAATGCTGTTGTACTTTCTAAAGGCTCACGGTTTCAGAGCAGTTCACAATCAATGAAAACTACGCCTTTTTGCCAGTAGATTATTTATGATCAACTATTGATAAATTATGAGTGTTTACTGTATGGTGTTTATAGTATATGTTGTAGACTGTCCTCAGAGTGCATATCAATTTATCTCCCTCGTTTGTTTGAATGAGCAGCTGGAAATAGTAAAGCATAGATGTTTTCAAAATAAGAGTCCTGGTGTATTTCAGGCTTGTTTATAATTAAAAGTCCTGCATCATGCATATATTTTCCCCCCTGGTTATTACTAGTATTTTGGTTAGACAAACTGTATCTGGCATTTTATTTTGTATGGGCTACACAGTGACAGGAAGGGAAAACAAAGAACATTATTTAACACCTATAGTGTTTTTCAATATGTAGATTTTACCAGTAGATTTTTACACCAGTATGTATACACACACACAATTATAATACATCAATCAATTGATGATTTGTATCAGAAAATGAAACTTTTGTTCAGATGTTCTGTCTTTTGCTGCCACCCTGTGGCCAGAATCTATTCATCATGTTAAACTGCTTACACCAGAAGATTTATTTATCTGTTTATTTAGATTAGGCTAATTATTACAGTTTTCATGTGAATCAGAATAAAGAATTACTATCCTAGTATAACCATATGCAGTCTAAACAGCATGTTTTCTAACATTTTATCTACAAAGCAAACTATTTTATCTCACATATGTTACAGACTAGGGGTTTTTAAATTTGGGCTCACACATCAACAGGGATTAAAGTTTTCCGTCGCTACGACAGATTTCCGTCAATTATAAAAAAAGAGTGGAAAATAAACATGTAGCGCATTGTTGTTGTTCTGCCGGTGTTGTGCCGAATTCTGCACCCCTTCAAGATTATGCATCCCCTCGTTGAAATCGCTACCTGATTGCCTAACCCCTCCCCTACATCTACTCCTAAACCTACCAATACTAGGGGATGCATAATCTGGCAGGGTGCAGAATTCGGCACGACACCGGCACTAGGGCTGTGACGGTGGCAGATTTTTACCACCGCGGTGGTAATGGACCAACTACTGCCGGTGGCGCGGTGTTGATATAAATATATATAATAATTAATATTAATTGTGACGAGTCGGCTGCCTCCCCCTAATTATCAGCATCACCCCGTCCCTTAATCGCCGCCCTTCGCATGAGTCACATTTAAGAACATGTCTCTGAAATGGTTTTCAAAACCACTCATCTAACACACCCGATTTAACTCGTCAGATCATTAATACTAATGACCTGAAGTGGGTCAGAAAAGGTAAAAAGAGAAAATATGATGCGTGTCAGATCCGCGTCACGTTCAGCAGCGGCAGCTCTTAAAGAAATAGCAGCCAAAACAACCTAATAACCAGCTGCTGTGATGTCTATTAATCAAAGGACAAAGAAGAAAAAGAAGAAAAAATAACCTTTATAGCTTTAAGGATTCATCTATATTTAACTTAGAATTTAGTGTTTGATAACTTCAATTTCAATTTCTGTGTATTTCTGCTGAAGGACACAGGTAAATATGACATTTATTATAATGGGTTTATGTGAAGATTGTTTTAAGTTCACTTAAATTAGAAGTTATTTTTAAAGTCTAATAAATGTTAAAATT